CCTTGTGATAAATAAATAGACAAAACCTTCTATATTATTTAATGAAACATGCATCAATGAAAAAATGCTGTCTAAATACATACACACAATATATATATATATATATATATATATATATATATATACACACACACAAAGTATTGCTACAATCAACAGAAAGCCTGTCAGATGACAAAGTGAAACCCAATATAAAAAAAATACTAACATCGGATAAAGAAATGAAACCAATACAAGCAACAGATTGCCACCTATCCAAATATAACGAACATTTCTCTATGCCTAAGTTATCCGGACAGAGCAAAAAGGCTTCAAATGCGTTCTAGCTGACGGGCGATCACGAGGCCGTGAAACTTAAGTAGCAGTTAGAAAGGTATATATATATATATATATATATATATATATATATATATATATATATATATATATGTGTGTGTGTGTGTGTGTGTGTGTGTGTATTAAAGTAAAAAAAAGAAATCATTGATGAAACCAACTGGCAACTCGCCAAAAGGCCAAAATGACGTTAAACAAGATAAAATCCCGATTAAAGGCTGCAATAAAAAAAGAAAAAGACCTCAACGCAAACAGCTACCGACTCAGTAAAGTGATCAACGCATAGATTACCTAAACAGAGCAAAATCGCATGATTCGTTAATTTCTATGAAAGGATGGCCCTAGTCGTAACCCGAGTTTCACTCCCACGCGATCTTCAAACGGCTTGAACGAAAAGGAAAGAAAGGGGACCACTTCTGTATACATATATATATATATATATATAATAATTTCCAAGCAAGTACCACCAATAAATATATATATATATATATATATATATATATATATATATATATATATATTAAGAAATTAGGAAATCAGTGGAATCCGCTACCTTGGCTTCAAAATTTCGGTATCGTCTGGCGAAACGCTTTATTTTAAAAAATATATAATAAACGCTATATGATTTTGAAAAATAAATAAACAAACGCACGACGTTGGGTATTATAGAAAGAGAGGAGGGGTGGGTGCGCATATGAAGAAGAAGACGATGTCATTGAAATCTATAATAGCATCTGCAATCTCTGCCAATGAGAATAGTTAGCAATAATGACATTTTCAGATCAAAAAACACATTTTAATTAACTCCCAGAGATACATTGTGTGTGTGTGTGTAACAAATGCACGGTCGCAATTTTCGACGGATTTGCACCAAAATTTACATGCACATGCTCCAAGTTAGTGGAAAGGCCAAGACCAATATTGCATTTTCCAACTCCCATCGATAGTGGAAATAATCGATTTTTTCAAGCTCCTACGGCAGTTTTCATGTAGTTTACGGCCATTTTCTACTGGCCAGAGTGAGAGCCTATAGCTGGCTGCCACGAATAGACAGGAAGATTCTATTGGCCAGCGTGAGAGCCAACAGCTGACGGTCACGAATGTTAACTAGCATGCCAGGCATCGTTGAGCTCGTCATGATATAAGTAACCTACTAACCGAGTTTGTCCGGAATCGGAGGAAAAACGTTGAATTTATCGATTTTGGATCGGCTTTATCGATTATTGATTTTTTAAAAATTTTTTACGCTAAAAAACTATCTCTTACATTGTACAATGTATGTAGCAAGTTTGGTCAAAATCGGTTGGATGGATCTCGAGTGAAAAGGTATCACACAGACAGACAGACAGACAGGCATCCTCTGTTTTTTTTATATATATAAAGATAAAAGAAAATTCGGTAATATTTAGCTCTCATTCCCACAGAAAAACGGTATGTCAAAAAGACGGTTATTCCCTTGACACCGCTATTTTTGTAAACGGCAATGTTTATTTACAAGATTGGAAAATTATGTGATTTTTTATTTATATTTTATAAAGAATTATTATTTACCATTTAATAAAGAAGTACACCTGAAAAAATATTTTTTTTATTTAAGGAAATATTTAAAAATTACAAAATTATCCACAATTACATAACTAGCAGCCATACCCAGCTGGTCGATCAGAAAAAGCGTTCAATTACAATGGAGCAAAAACAGCATCATGTTTAGATGTAACAGATATATATATATACTATACTCTGTATTACTATGTTTCGGTTTCGAAACATAGTAATACAGAGTATTGCGAGACATTTGAATCTCTACTACGCAATAAATCATTTTTGGTTTATCTTCTTTTTAAAATATACGCTTTACTATCGTTGGAACAACTATAACTTCTTCCTTATATATATATATATATTTTTTTTTTTTTCAATAAAAAACAACCACAATACATTGTATATATATCCACCACATGCTTTTGGTTTTATTTTAAAATATATAAAATACTCTATTTTCCATAATTCTGCTACACGGGTTTCTAGTTTCGCGACATTCTTGAAGCAAAGAGTAGATATTTCCGCATATTATAAAAATATTAATAAAAGAAATGACAGGAATTTTTTCTGTATTTATAATTACGGTTACTCGTATTTATAATTATAGTTATATATGGTGAACTCTCCCGTCGTATTCGACGTATGAGGTTCAAGCAGCGTAGTTCCTAGGAACTGACAGCCTGGCACAAGCACATATGAGTTGATTATAGTGGTGAAGGCTTTGTGTAGAATCAACGACACATATATGGTATATGCTTTTTGGATGTAAACAATCAAGGCTTTCCACAACTTCTGATCTTTTGTTGCTCAAATTAATTTTTGTCCATTGACTGTTCGTCTTTGTTATTATGATCGAATATTGTACCATCCATTTACTCACTATTATTAAATAAACTCGCTGTTTCTCCTTGCTTCTCTTGCTTTCAATGTGTCCTCTAAGTGTTACATTCACCCACCTTTCTTTTCTTGCGTGCCAAAATAATTTTAAGCTGTCTTTTTCGGAATGTTAATATTAGTTTCTTTGTACTTCCTATTCTTCTAAAATCTTTCATTTTTCACATGTTCCGTTGATGGTGTTCGAAACCAAAATTTTCTCCTTCACGGATACATTTATAAATTTGTCAATAAAAAATTATTTTCATACTTGTTTTTCTTTATAGAATGGCAAATAATAAACATTTCATTATAATTGGTTAATATACTTATCTATTTTTTTAAGCCATCGCAGGTCGGCGACACTAAAATCAAACATGTGCGGAAATCTAAATATCTGGGAAATGTTCTGACGGAGGGCGGTAGGTGCGACACTGAGATCCGAAGAAGGATTGGGATGGCCAAGGACGCATTTCATAAGCTGGACAGAGTACTGCGAGACAGGAGGATTTCTTTGGTAACCAAGAAAAGAGTACTGAGCTGCTACGTGACATTTGTCCTCCTATACGGCAACAAATGGTGGATGGTTTTCTCAAAGATGAAGAAGAGTATCGAGGTGGCGGAGAAGTGGATCTACAGAAGGATGCTGAGGATATCATGGAGCAAGCGAGTTAGCAACGATGCGGTCTTGGAGAGCATGCAAACAAGGAGGAAGCTTATAATTAACATCAGGTGGAGGCAAATGAAATTTCTGGGACACGTAATGAGAAAGGAGGGCCTGTAGAATCTGATACTCACAGGCCGAATAGTGGGAAAAAGAGACAAGGGAAAACAATGCATGACATACCTGGCGGTCTTAAGCACGTGTTATGGGGGATTTGACAGAGGCACGAAACTTATACATATATATATATATATATATATATATATATATATATATATATATATTCGTTTTCGAAACATAGTAATTTCTGTGTCGTGATGGAGGTATATTTAAAAAAAATAATTGTAATATATATATATATATATATGTTAAAAAGAAAATACATCGCAAACATTTTTGGTTGAAATGTGGATTTTTATTTTAAAATATATATTATACTCTATTTTCCATAATTCTGCTACACGGGTTTCTAGTTTCGCGACATTCTTGAAGCGAAGAGTAGATATTTCCGCATATTATAAAAAATATTAATAAGAGAACTATATGCAATATATATATATATATATATATATATATATATATATATATATATATATATATATATATATATGGGATAAAGTGCACGAGGTAGAGCGTATGTATATATATATATGTAAAAGTGAGCATTGAAGTCAACACTCAGAGGCGACAGGCTGTTTCATGCTAGACGCAATCATCAGGTGGCCTGACGATTGCGTGTCTACAAGAAATAGCCTGTCGCCTGATCAATGAGTGTATATAATATATATATATATATATATATATATATATATATATATATATATATATATATATATATATATATATATATATATATTACATTGAGCTCTCAGGATTTCATCCTCCTTGGGATTACCCATACGGAATACCAAGTTCTTCATAACTTAAATATATATATATATATATATATATAGATATTTATATAATTAGGCAGCAATCCTTCCTTTATGCATGTTTCATTAAAACGACAGACATTAGGAACATACCAGTAGAAAACACTAATATATTAACTGCATCCACTTGCAAAAAAAGACTTCAATATCCACTTATATATATATATATATTTTTTATATATTATATATATATATATATATATATATAAACTCATATCACCAGTCCAAGAAAGACATTTGAATCTCGACTACGCAAAAAAAAAATCATTTTGGTTTATCTTCTTTTTAAAATATACACTTTTCTATCGTTGGAACAACTATAATCTCTTCTTATATATATATATATATATATATATATATATATATATATATATATATATATATATATATATATTTTTCAATAAAAACAACCACAAACACATTGTATATATATCCACCACATGCTTTCTTATCCATCTCTCTTGTTTTATAATCACTTTTTTTTTCAATGGAATCATTGAACTGAAATATATTTTTGAATAAATAAAATATTCAAGAAATCCAAGAATGCAAAATATTGTAAGCAAAACAAGATTCTAAGCAAGGATCTGTCAATAAGTGGAATCGGAATCTGTTTAATTCAAGAAGAGGGAGTGATTGGAAATTTAGAAAGAAAATACAGAATAGGCGTTGTTCATAGCAAAAAGAGAGAGAGAGAGAGAGAGAGAGAGAGAGAGAGAGAGAGAGAGTGAGAGTAGGGGGAGGGAGAGAGAGACAGAGAGCGGGCGAGTGGGGGAGAGAGGACAGACAGACATATTTAAATAAAAAAAAGAATACAAGAATAAATGAAACAAGATTGAAAGTACAAAAAATTCTTCCAATAATTCAAGAAATAAAGAATAAATAAGAAATTGTCAATTTGCCTATTTTTTTTTTTTTTGCACGATTTCGGTTTTTCAATGAGTCTTCAGTAGAAGATAGACATGTAAATGAAATTAGCAAGGGAAATTGTCTGCGACGAAAAACCTCAGATGAATGGCCAATTTACCATTCGAAAACGATGTATATTTATACTTCTTTACATTCGTATATGCAGCGAGTTTTAGCACGAAGCACATGCATTTGCAAGAACCTTCTAGAACGGTCGCGGCTATTTTTTTTTTTTAACCTTTGGGGTAGAAATTCGAGTGGTGGCTTTTGGCTGTTTGATAATGTTAACGCCTTCATCCGAACTGTCCATTTTCTATTTTCATCTCTTAGTCTAACGTCCAATGTCCTCATTTTCTAAAGCCTAACTTAGATATCGATTTGTTAGCAACCATTTTAATGTCCATTCCGTTTCCTGTTCACAGCATCAAAGAAAAAACCACTTAACGTTATAGATTAGTCAGAATAGAATACGACTTAGATTATCTAAGTTTCAAGTGGCCAAAACAAAAGCAAAAATAAATAAATAGATAAATAAGCAAGTGCCGCATTCCGAGCATGATACACGGGTTCGAATCTCCCTATGTTTTACCTGTCAGAAAGGTAACTCCTTGATCTTATCGTACTTGGGGAGGCGTTACAATCGGACGGCACCTATGGAAAGTATGTGAAAACTATACGACTCGTTGACAAAAGAGTGGTGATACTGCTAGCATAAGTCATCGCAGCCGAGGGTTTGAGTTTCCTGACATTATTGAAACTGCTGATCACGGCAGTTTATTCGCACTCCCCCGGAAACTATAACTAAGACGCACTCAGCAGAGTTTGCCTATAAACCGCGTATATATTATACGCGGTATACGGATGTGCTGTGACAGGTATTTGCTAGCTGCTCGAGTGAACAGATGTTCTCGGATATATATATATATATATATATATATATATATATATAAGCACGTAAGTGAATATCATGGATTCGACTGGCTCCCCGATTCCTCAATCCAAGCCGATATCCATTACTCCACCGTGCCTCCTAATACTCTTGGGAAAGGTGTGAATCCTCTTCTTCTCCCTCCAGCTATTGGTAAATAGCAGGACAGACTGGGTGGCAACTGTTCTAGGGGAAAGGACAACTCTGAATTCAAAACTTGAGGAGGGTTGTTTGGGGACCTTGTGGCACCAAGTCTCTGTATTCGGCCCTTCAAAAAGTGTGGTTGGTCCTGCACGAAATCTTCACCACTATAATGAAATCTCATGTGCCGTTGTCGGGCTGTCGGTTTCCTGGAAACTGATCAGCTAGGCCCTCATACGTCGAATTCGACGGGAGAGGAGGAGTAATATATATATATATATATATATATATATATATATATATATATATATCTATATATATATGTATATATATTTCATTAAATAATATAGACAAGTTTTGTCTATTTTATGTAAATTCTTTTCCTTTTCATATCGTCTGATTAGCTTAATAACATTATCATTAAAAGAAGAAAGAAAATCACAATATTGATACATATTTTTTAATCCTATCTAAGCCATTATCAAAGATGACAATTACATTACAATATATTAAACAATACATGGACAAAACAATAATGATAGTCTGTTTATGGAAGATTTCCAAGCAATAACAAACTCGTGCATACAAAACGCTGGAAGCGAAAATCACGCCGCAGCTCATGACATCACACACGATCAGGCGAGAGTGAAAACGAGAAGTATTAAGTATGTGAAGCCATTGGAATAAACCAATAGCTTCTTTTACCAATTATAGGCATTTAAAAATATTTGTGGAGATTCAATAGTTTATTTTGTTCAGGTTAGGATTCAACTGTTTTATGTATATAGCTTCAAGAATTTTTAGTTTTTGTTTATTGTTTTCATATTTAAACAATATATATATGTATATATATATATATATATATATATATATAAATCGATTCTCCCGTCGGGTTTGACGTATGAGGGTCAAGCAGGAAACTGACAGCCCGACACCGGCACATGAGATTCGATTATAGTGGTGAAGGCTTCGTGCAGGACCATCCACACTTTTTGAAGGGCTCAATACAGAGACCTGGTGCACTATATATATATATGTATATATATACACATACAAATGTACTTAGGGTATATTGTCACGTTATTTTGAATTAGTCCATACTTGTATTCTGATTGGTCATCATAGGTTACGTAACAATGTTTCCTCTGCTGAGTGGGGACTTAGTTGGTTTTGAACTCGTAAATCTTTATATCGCAATCAAAACCATCACTTGATAAGACACCAATAGAACACTCTTTTAAGAATAGTGTTTTTTGCTTATCGGAATTTTATTCCATTTGTACCAACCCCTGTACTTGAATAATATATATATATATATATATATATATATATATATATATATATATATATATTTTATTATTATTAATAAATATAAGAAGACAATGATTGTCCATTACAGTTGATCATGAGCCTGCCTATATTTCTGAGATGAGGTATTATGTACAGTATTTACATTAGTCGGACTATTGTCATCATCTTTGTCGCCATATTTGTCACAACGTTTCGGCCGTTGTACGCTCCGGCCTTCTTCAGGTTGTTGGAATTTCAAACTGAACCCTTTATTTCGATCACTGGGGGTAGACTGTTCTAGTTCCACGTGCCATGTTTGATGGATGTCAGTTATCTCCTGCTAATTTTCCCTCTGAAAATTCTCCACTGCCTTAACCAGGTATTGAACTCACCTTCTTTGGGTTGGTCACTGGATCTAAGCAACGCCTTTATCCACTGTGCCATGTGTCCCTGTGACAAATATCATATTTTATCCACTGTGCCATGTGTCCCTGTGAAAAATATGGCGACAAAGATGAGGACAATAGTCCGACTAATGTAAATACTGATCATGAGCCGTTTTAATGTTCGAAAGTTTGCTTTTATTCCTGGTGTAAATAAAGACAAAAATTATCTAAAATTTGGATATTGTTTATTCAGTTGGTCCTAAACGTTCTAATCATATGAGCCATCCTCAGAATGTGGTTATACAGACATGAAACAAAGATATCCACCGTCAAAGATGATATTTTGTTATGTTGCCCCCCCACCAATACTATGCTACGATAACGGTGGCGGAATAACAGACGCAGATCGTAAGTTCAAGATGCGGTTCTATGACGCGATAGACCCGAAGCATTGCAACAGAAACAATGTCTAGACACAAAGTAATGTGGTGTGACTAGTTTGAAATGTGTTTTTGTAGAGAGTAGGTTGCTTCGTTTATATATATATATATATATATATATATATATATATATATATATATATATATATATATGTGTGTGTGTGTGTGTGTGTGTGAAAAGTGTATATAAATATATATATGCATAATTGTTTATATATTATATGCGCGGTACTTATTAAAAGCGCTCAATATCAGAGATAGAGCTAACATATTTGGTTGGATAGATGTGAGTTTGTGACCCTGAAACCCAGGGTCAAAAACTCACATCTATCAACAAAATATATATATATATATATATATATATATATATATATATATATATAAACATCAAAAAAAATAGTACTGGCTGCTTGGTTAATGAATGCCAAATGTTTCCTTATATATATATATATATATATATATATATATATATATATATATATATATATATGCATGTGTTCGTGTGTGCTTGTGAGGTAATGGTAGTATGAGCAGTTTACCTATAAGGAAACATTTCACATTCATTAACCGAGCGGCCGGTACTACTTTTGTTTGATGTTTATAAAGTCTTTCTCTTAAAACAATTTTTCAGGAAGAAAAATGTTTTTTTCAAGAGCTGTGGCTGTTATCGCCCTTTTCAGTATTGAATGGAGGGCGTTCCTTTCTATCCTGTTTTTGAAGTAATGTGAAATGGCAACATCTTGGTTATTTCATTGTTTTCTCTCCGACTTACATGTGCTATTCATTTTAGTTGTTGCCGCTGTTGGTAGTCTTCTAGTGATGTGGTTTGTGTTCTTTGGCACAATTCTTTCTGATTCTGTAGAACCAATCCACAATGTACGACGAAGTATGGTCTTTGCCAAAGCCCTCAGGCTTCACTCACTCCAATCGATTTTCATTATTTTTAGAAAGTAGTTATATAAATATGGTAATTTAGATGTTTCTGAACGAGGTTAGCGACATGCATGGCATTATTGTCTCAATCTGATGAATCTATTAAAAAATATGAATTTTCAGATGGATGTTTTGGGTTTGTAGAAATTTGTTGGTCAAACCTATTCCATGTTCAATATTCTGTTCTATACTAAATTTGTTATAATCGACCCATACACTCATGTAAGCGTTTAGTATTTACTAATTCTGAATCCTGAATTATTATGTTGTATTCTGGGTTTGTGCCATTACTGCTTTCATTCCAATTCAAGATCATAGTTTCTGTTTAGGAAAGGTTTATGTAGAGTCTTATTACTTGGAACACAATGTTAAAAGCCATTGAATTTATATTCAAAATCATTTTCATTCTTATTAAATATACCTATGTCATCAGTATTCTACACTCATCATCATTGTACATTGGCTTCGGATGGGAAAGAAAAATCGTTTTTGGATGCAGTATAAAATGTTTAAATGGTCAGTGCTTATTTTATCACATCTATAAATATACAGGGCATAGTCTAGGTAAAGATTAAATAGACTGGGACTCTCTTTAACTAATTGTCATACAACGATTGAGCTTGAAATGTTTC